TACATAACATTTTAGAATCAGATTGAGGTTTACTGACCAAGTTTATGGACACAAGCAAAGACTCTGACTTTGGTTTCACACACTCGTTGTGCAGACCTCACCGTTTAGTTTTATTTTCTGTCCTGAACTCCTGATCATGGTGAAGATGAAAAACTTCTGCTGGCTCTTTGTGCTCTGACATACCTAAATATTATCAGGTGAATCAGTTGAAGTAGAAGAACGTAGCATTCAGTTTGGAGGTGATTGAATGCTTCATTGGAGCAGACAAAGGATTTGCATAGTGTAGCAAGAGATAAAGTTACTGAGTAGCAGTGGTGCATATTTAGCATCTCAGGCATTCCATTGATTTTTTTTTTTTTTCAATTTTTCTCAAAACAATCCACAGTAGACTGACTTACAAGGAGAGATGATTTCCAGATTATGGTGCTGAAGCATGTTCTACTTAAAGCTCTGTATTTTTCTAAGCCAGAGGTCAGCGGCTTTTCTATTTAAAGAACATCTTTAGTCCCCTCTACTACAAAATAAAATTTGCCTAAAGCTGCGAAAACAATTTCCTAAAAAATTTTTTTATGAAAACTAACAAAAAGAAATTAAAATTTATTTCTATTTTCATATTTTAAAACAAAGTGAATCCTCTTATTACAAAACACAATTTTGTAGAATGATTTGACCTTTTTTGTATAAATATAGAAAATGAAGAAAGGAAGGTAGCATAGCTTGCAAATAGTAACTTTTAAGAGTCAATTATAGATATAAAAAACAGATTTTTATAAGAACTTATGAAACAAACTCAAAAATGATAACTTCTTAATGCATCTATAACCAAAACATTTCCTCCTGGGGATGTAACATTACTGCACTATGGAAATTATTGCTGCAGCTATTTTAATAATCCCATTTAAAACATGTTTAGGGTATATATCTGATTTGACTCTTTACCTTTTTTATAGTGCCTTAAGACAGAGCAGATGTTAGGAAGTGCTCAGTAATCCCTTAGTACTACCAGATTACATTATTACATGCTTTTTTTAACAGTTGAATAATCAGCATTCACATATTATTGAACATTTACTGGATTTTCTGTGGTTGGTTTAACACCACTCTAAGTAAATGGACTGTTGCACTGTAATATCCTAAGAAAAACATATTTTAACTAATGCCTTTTCCAGTTAAGCAAGCAATTCTCCCAGAGTACTGATGTCTAGAGTTGTGTTTTTGTTGCTCCTCTTGGATTTGTGCTTCCCAGCTGCCAAATTCCTACAAATTCTTTTTCTTTATTTGGTCTGGAAATCCCAGTTTTCCTCCAGCGCCATGTTTGTGCTCGTAATTCTGCTGACCTCTCATGGGGGACGGCTTTTTGTTCTAGCAGATGTCTTCTCTTTGAAGCCATCAATGATAGGCACATTTAAGCCCCACTATCACCTAATACACAGCTTTGCTTCATTAGAGAAAGTTACATAAATAATATGCTTATAATCTGAAACAACACCCAAGACCAAGAATTTTACATGCATTCATCTCTGTATGAATGTTATATTCATTTGGAGATTTTGGGTTCAAATATATACATACACCCCTACTAATATTTGGATAAATGTTTCTTGGCAACTTAAACTTTAATGACCAGCTGGATGTTTACTCACTGTTTGTATCAAAAATAATAAGATGTATTTAAATTGGTTTCTATATTGTTATTGATTTACCAGCCCTGTGTATAATTTTGCTCCCATGTGCATTAGAGGAAGCTCATACATCCTTACCTGCTCCTTGTTTTTCAAATGAAATGTCACATCTTGAAGGTTCCGGTTCATGTCTTCTTGGATTTCTCCACTCTGGAGTGCAGACATCTCAGTGATGCTCTGGAGCTTTTTGTTCTGGACCTCATGGATGTCAACAAAAACTACATTGAGAGGGAAGTCAAGGTAAAACATGCATTATTGATGCGGCCTGAGGTGTGAAGAGAGTCATTTATTTTTGTTGCTTTTTATCCCAAAACACCAGTTTTATAGTGAAATTACTCTCCACTGATTCCTATCCCACACAGGTGCAGGCCACCTGTGGAGGCAGGGTTACTGCGGTTCCCTTCTGGTACCAGATTCAGTTGGACCCGGATGTCAGCGTCAGCACCCTCAGCCGGAACTCCCACTGGAAGCAGGCCGCTGCCGTTCTGCAGGATCCCCTGCAAGTCCAAGCTGGAGACTGGATCCGTCTGGCTGTGAGGCTGCACAAGAGCACCATCTCCATCTCCGCTCATTTAGACAACGCTCCTGTGCAGATGGACTAAAACCTATGTGGTACCATCCTTTTATACATTTTTAGGAGAGCTCCATTGTTACAGAGTCTGCAGGAACCCTATTGTGACACATTTTGTTTATTCTGGTAAGAAAATATTAAGCTGTAGTTTGTTTTTTTAGCAATGACCTGCATGACAAAGTTTTTAAGTGCCCTTGTGACGGAACTGCGATAGAATTTTCTAGTAATATTCACATATGACTAATTTCATAGTACATATAAAATGTACTGTGGTATTGAAATTGTCCTTATGGACCCAGATGTTAAAGTGTTTATTATGAAAACTGTACTGCAAAAACAGAATCTTACCAAGTATTTTTGGTCTAATATCTACTGCAAATATGTTGGTACACCTGAAATAGGACAAAACTAACTTACAAGTAACTTTTCAGAATCATATAGGAGGTTGTTTTAAGTGAATAATTTCTTAGTATTGATGAAAAGCTCTGAGTTAGAAGTGAAATAATCTGCCAGTGGAACAAGGCAAAACTACTTGGTAAGATTTTGTGTTTTTGCAGTGTATTCACCAATGCATGTGGAATTTTTTTAATACACAATGAAAAACTAGTTTTTGGTCATTTTTTTATTGATATTTACATTTTACATTTCATGAGTGTAGTATTTACATCAGATATGATATATTCCAGTAAGGTTCATATATATAAAAAAGGCAACAACATGCATGAGCTCAGGATTATAGACGTCAAGTTGTTGTATGTTATTTTAAAAATAATGTTGTCAGCAGACATGAACAAATCCACGTTCTAATCACCATATTAGTGGAAAAATAATTAAAATATTAAAGGGAAAAACATCTATTCAAGATGTAGTTATGAAAAAAAAATTATTTGGTGTTGCTCATATTTGCTAAACTAATGAAAAAAAATCAATGGATTTTTTGATCCAGGGTGGAAAAGTGAATCAGAAGTTAGTTGTACAGACTAAAGCATTTACAGTATTTGACCTACAGAGAGCTGATTGTACTACTTCAAGTTGAGTTCTGTATGTTCTCACATATAACCAAGCAAACAGTTTGCATACACAGAGAAAAATGTTGCCTTTTTACTTCATTCTTTGATCTGGAAACATTTTTTTATTTTAAAATGTTCCAGTGCCCTTTTCTAAATATTTTAGCTTTGGAACAATCAATGTGTTTTAAAGGAGGGGCATTATGTAGTTTTCAAGCACATAGTGCCATTTTAAAGCAAAATCAAGTAACAATGTTACCTTCAGGTCTAAAAATGCTGTACATATCAAAAATAACTTAAAAGAAATTTGACTTTGCAATTTGACGCCTTGAAATTGGCCTCTGTCTCTTTAAGAAGCTCCTACTCTAACAGCTCACCTTCAGGACATCATGGCAATAATTCTCCCTCATTATATTGTCTATAATCATTCTGTGAAGTTTTTCACTAAGAAATCGTTAGCAAAAGCTCAGCAGACGCATATGTTTGCTAACTGCAGTTGCTGCTAATCTAGAAGAGTTTTGAGGGGGAGGAGCTTTGTATGATTAAGCATTTAGGCACCCCTGAATAGTTGCCATGGGAAACACAAGGATTGCTCAAACATGTATGAAAGAGTCAAGACAACATTCTGGGTATGTTTTTGATGTGGAAATATAACATGATATAAAGCACTTAAAGGCCAACTTTACATAATAACGCTCTTAAGTAATGTAGCTTCCTGAATGCCGTAAAGCCCTGCAACTCAAGAACATCCTAATAAAAAGAACATTTGAAAGCTGCTCATCTGTCAGACTTCATATAAAGACATTGCTAAGAGAGAATGATTTGAAAGGCTACAGAAACAATCCTGGGTTCAGACATGCTCTTGGCTTTTTAACGGCTATAATGGATGTATTGTGGGAACTTTGAGCACAAGCTTCTTCTCTCTTTTCTCATACAACATAAAACAGTGAAATGCGTGTCAATAAGCCATGTAAGACCCAACCTTCGAATGAACATTCATACAGCTGTCATTAACGGAGAGGTCCTTTTCATTTTTCACCGGCTGATTTTAATCAGCTGTAGTGTCATTTGTTTTCCTAAGCTTTGGACCTGGGACCTGCCCAGTCATATGACAATAGACCAACCTATGTGATGACTATGAGATCCGCCTCTTCTGGTTCTTTGGTGTGATTCGTCCTTGCATTATCTTGGGTTGAGTCAGTTCTAGCCTCATGACCTTCTTCCCACACAGCCGAGTCCAACCCTGCCGGCGCTGATAAGGAATGCGGTGTGAGGGTTCTTCCAAGCCCCTCGTACTGACCTTGGTTGCTTGCAGCTTCTGTGATGGTGTCTTGAGACGCCGAAGACAGAAGCCCAGAACGCTCGCCGTCGTTCTGCGCCTCGCCAAAATACGACTTCTTTGGGCGACCCATGACTGTCCTTCCTGGAAACGAGTCCACAAAAAGAAAAAAAAACACATTTAAGGGTTTTACGAAGCTTGTTTCCAAAGATGTCTGAAGGAAAGGTGCATCTCAGTGAATGTATTTCACTAATTCAACCCTAAAAGTGTATTTATCCATTTATCCAATGAATGAATTTCAGACAGATGTTTTCAAGGTTTGGAAAGTTGACATTAAATTTTTCCCAGATGTCTGAAACAACCCATCCAGTCCACACATGCATTACTACTACAATAAACAGCATTAATAAGGACTTTATTCCAGAGAGTTTGACTGGGGTTGGTGCTTAAAGAAACTCTGCCCACACATTAATCCAGAAAATTGGCTCCATCTGTCATTCGTAGTGATAAGCTCCTCCTAAACAGAGATAACACCAGCAGTGTCCTACCTGGGCAGAGGAGAAAAACTGAACTGTTGATCAGTGAGCCAAAGTCCTCTATTCAGAGTAAAACGAACAGACTTTTCAGAAGCCTGATATTTCTGTTTACTTTTTTTATTATTGATTTTATGCAATATTTTAACTTTTTGGTACATTTTGGATTTTCATTCTTTGTAAGACATAATCATCAAAATTACAAAAACTAAAGGCTTGAAATATCTTACGTAACATGTAATGAATCTATAGAATAGATGAGTCTCACTTTCTGTAATGAAAATTGTTCATGACATTCAAATTTTTTCCTGTGCCTGGACTAAAAATCCCTTTTTATTGCTTGTATATTAATTAGTGGTGAGACTCAATCTCTGTGTTAATTGCAAGGTATGGAATTAACTAACTCACTGCAATGAATCACATTTTAATCAAAACATTTGGCAAAATTGTTTTTGAAAAATATCATCACACTTTATGTGATGAGCTATAACACTGAATAAGGTTATGGAAATAAATTAACCGATTCATAATTTTCTAGTTCAATGAGATGCACCTGCACATCAGCGAACATGAAGGACTTACCAACATTACGAACTTGTTCAGAAATATCCGCCCTGACATCTGAGATGTCCCACATGGCCATAAAAGAGTCAAAGCAGGAGACCTCCTCTGCCTCCTGGATGTAAGGTTTGTAGGTAAAGCTGAAGTGATGAGCGATGGCTGCGAGAAACATCTCGACACAGATGATGAAATCCTGAAGGAAACAATGCAGCTTGGTTTGTTTCACAACATTATTAAATAATTAGGTATTTCAGCTGCGTTTTAACAATGTTGGCCTACCTGTAAGCCCGTAGCAACAGCCTCCACACTCTGCCAGTCCCAGGTCCGTTTCTCTGAGATTATTCCCACTTTTACCAGCAAAGCAATCAGCACAGCTTGCCTGGGAATATTTACAAAGCCTCAGTTTCCTCAAACAGATACAGATTACCTATACATTGACATGAAATATCAGCAATGAGGAGAGATTTACCAAAAAGAGACAAACACCACCATTTTGACACACAAGAATTTCCCCACTGGTTTGATGGGGCTCAGCTCATCCCTCAGAGCCCGGTAGAACAGAACCAGGCAGTACATTGCAAACTGGAACAAAATGAGAAATGTCAACAAAAACTACAGTTTCATACAGCCAATTATATGAAATAACAGGAACATATTTACCAGCTGTGACATGTTGTTGAAAATAACCAGGTATGTCCAGGCATTTTTAAAGCTAAAATTGCCTTCGTCGTAAACGTCACACAGCTGACAGATCCTAGGAAGAAACACATGCATGTCTTTATCACTATATCACATGCCAAATAATTTGAGTTAAGCATAAACAGGGTGCAACAAAATTAGAATTTACTTACAAAGCGATCACTGTTGTGACGGGTCTTACCACCGTGTACTGCAGGACTCCCAGTTTACATCGCAACAGCAACACCCTGGTTAAACGAGAAAAGAGAAGTTATTGAAGACGAGGCCAAACTACCGACGGGTTCACTGTTGTGAATCATCAGAAACGCAAAGTGAGAAATATTCAAACTGAATCAGAAATTATAAAATTAAATAAATGTATCAGCAAATGCTACGTGAAAAGTTTTAGCCTCGTCTATTAAAATATAAATGTTTCACATACAAAATCTAAATATTACAGAAAAAAAGTCAGGTGATCTTCAGTAAGTGTGAACTGTTGTCTGACGTGAACAACAAACTATTCAGTTAAATTCAGTAGTCACATGGATGACCTTATAAAGATTATAACAAACTGATAAGTTCATGGTTACTACCTGAAAAGTGTGGCTGCAATAAGCCCAACTAAACCAAAGTTTTGTTGCATTCAAAATTTTCTGGAATTGCCTTTATGACCTTTCGAAGATTGATTGACTGCCGTTCTTAATGTCTCTCTTAAAGTTACTGACATCGTTCCTTCGTCACATTGTGGAAAATCACCAGACTACAAACTTAAAGAGCTTAAAGAGCTTAAAGAGCTGTTTACACTTCTTTATGATTACTTAATAAAATGCCTTCACGTTTTTAAATAGTTAGTTTCCTGGTGCACTCTGCTATCTGGTAAAATCACTGAATTTTCACCAACAGAGCCTGAAAAATTCTTAAAAATAATGTATGCTTTATATTACGCAAAGCAAAAAAAATGAATTTGCTAAACTGAAATGTTGGAGAAAAGACCTGGAAGTCGAATAAGACAATTAAATTTTAAAAATACCAATTGTTCAGACACAATTTAAATCTAATCTATTCTTTAACTAATAGTATCACAGTGGGAAGCACCATATTTTTTTGTTACAACTGTAAAAGTGGTTTTGTTTTAATGGAACTCACTCTCCCATTGGCCAAGGTGGGCAGCAGCAGAGCGGTGGGAGGTGCTTCTGCTGCTCCTGGACCTCCAGCATCATCACCAAGCTGGGATACTGACGCTCCAGGTAGTTAAGCAAGAAAGTCATGAAGTTATAGATGACATAGGCCTCGTAGCATTCTCTGCACGTGTCCACATAGATTGCTATACTGGGGTACTTTAGCGCAATCCACTGGAAAAAAAATAAAAGACAACTGCCTCAGGCAATTCTGCAGAGAATGTCATACTTCTTATTCTTATAATCACAGTTTGACATGCATACTATGCATGTCAAATAAAAACACTTTTTTAAAATTATTTGACTCACGCTGTCCAAGCTGTAGATTGGGACCATCCATAATATCCTAAAATAATAAAAAAAATTGTGATAATAGTAAAAAATATTGTTAAAAACGTCAATACTTTATTGGGTTTTCGTAGCAGACATGACTCACCTGATAATAGGCTTCTGGAGCTCTGGTTGGGTGTAGTGCACCAGATGCTGGAGAATGCCCCATAATGATATAGGTATGGTCATGAAAACAAAAATCCCAGCAATGAACCATGCTTTGTTGTGAGTTCCAACCTGTTATTAGATGAAGAAAATTGCATAAATAGAACTACAGTGTGTCAAATTTTCATTTGGGTCAGTTTTCATAACATACAGACTAACAACCCAACAGCTTGCCATCAGCTGATTACCGAGCTTCAAAGGATAAAGAGTTTTGGAAAACTTTCACATAAAAAATTGATAAGCTTTTTAACACATAATCTTCCTCAATTTTAAAACCATTTAAAATAAATTCAAAAGAAAGAGTTGGTGTAACCAGAGAGTTTTGTTCGGCTGTATGGAGCATAAAATCAGCACAGAGCTCACCACCTGTCAATCAACTGACTGAAACAGGGCTTTCTTCCTCACAGAAGAAAAAGACAAATGTGAAAGTTTATGAATATTTCCTGTTGCAAAAAATAAAAAGGTTAAACCTGATTAGAGTTATCTTTGATTAGTAATAACTGGATCATTGATCAATATTTGACAAAATGTAATGGTTATTACTTATTTAATAATTGATGACAATATAATGTTTTTATGATGTAAAACACTTTGAACTGCCTTGTTGATGACATGTACTGCACAAATGAACTTGACTTAATTGTGTTTAACACAACAGAAAACACGCAGCATGTCTATTAAGGTGCTGACTACCTGAGCAGATTGACTGACTAATTACACCGGTGTTACTCTATAAAGAACTGAACAGTAAAAAGGTACAATAGCCCATGTTTAAAAACATACAACTATATTAATCTGGTGTTTATTAAATATGTTTCTTAAGTCTTTGTATCACAATAACCATTACGTGTTGCATATAACAATGAAAATGAACTTACCCCAGATTTCTGTAGCTCCCAGATGACAAGCGGTAAGACGACAATTAGCAACAAAATATACAACACAACGACCAGCGGCCGAATCCATCTTCTCCAGTCCCCACAGGAGCAAGGCATCTTGTCATGAAGCCACCACAGGGCCTTTAAAACAGTCCCCTGATCCGATGACAAACACAGGAACCTGTAGCTAACGCCTTTACCTTCTGTAGCAGCTTTAGTCTCCCATTAACATACCCCAAATGTCTCACTTAGTGCCTTCCTAGCAAATCTTTCTATTCTACATCTACACGCTAAGTTCTTCTCTAACTCCGCGTTTCATTTAAGAAGATACAACTGGTGTTTTATTAACAACTCATGTGACTCAAGTTTGCTAACGTTAGCTCGTCAGCTGATTCACCATGTAAACAAACCGATCAACGATCCATGCTTCCTGGACGAGTTAAAGCTACAGACTAATAAACACGTCGGATTAAAAACAACAGAATCATCGTATTTTTTTTTTCTTTTTTAACAATAACAGACTTTAAAGCAAGTTGACGTTGGTAGGTACTAAAAGTTTCTTATCAAGAAGTAACCGTAACTAAACATACACTTCCGGGTTTCTCTGGTTACAGTTCCGCCATTCAATTTGATTGGACACTGAGTGGGTCCGCTCGTTGTCGGTTCGCCGAATGAAGAAAGTCTCTGTCTGCTTACTAATCCTTTTTTCAAATAAATTTGATCAAATATAAATATTTGAAAGTGTTACATAAGCACGTCTTATTATTAATTCTACTTAATAATAAATGCAACTCAATTAATTATTTCCCAGGTAGCAAACGATGTTTTGAACGACGTCCAGTGAACGTAGTCTGAAAGTCCAACCTAGAATATTCGGACCTGATGTTCACCAAAAGTTTTTATATTCTTAAAACGTTTAAAGTTTATTTATTTCTTTACCAAATTTCTATTTTTTGTTCTTGTTATAAAAAGTGCACACTTCTGACCATTGTTTGATTGTTATCTGACCGTTTTCCTTTCTTTTATAAAATTAGTTTTACAAAACTTTCCAAACAACCTTAGGCACTACAAAGAACTCCTTTGTATAGTCGTATCGTCTCTCCACGAATTTTATTCATTTTTAAGATTGTGTTTCTTGTTATTCCTGCACAATTACAGTTATTTTAATTCCTTGCCTGCTGGTAGCAGTAATGTTTGCTAATCGCTATTAACATCAAGAAAAGAAGCAGACGACAATGAAGAAGCAGCGTGCTCACACTTCGGACGATTACTGGGATATGATTTTGCCACTAGACTTTTCCTCTTTTCTTTTAAAACCAATCGTATCTTAATTTTTTCAGTAAGTTACTGTTAAATTATATTCTATTTTAAGAGTAAAAATACACCTGGTTGACTGGTTTGATTTTGTGTGATATACTTTTTTCTGTGACAAGTGTGAGGCTCTTTATGTTTGTTTTCCAGTGATATTCTTGCCAGGTAGTTATTTCTATAGGGGTTCACATAGTTAATCGTGAAATATTGCTGCACCAACCTCAGTCTGGTCTTTCTTACTTACTGGTAGGCAAAATGGCGGCGGCAGTTTCACTCGCCTAGACTTCACTGTTTTGATTGTGTGCCAGAAGTTTTTTTTCTTCCTTTTTTTCTATGGTAAGTCTGCTGCTCTCTTTTCTTTTTTCAGTGTTAACCCGGACAGTACTTATTTCTAGAGTGGTTCACATAACTAGTTAGTTGTCAAATATTGCAGTACCAAACCAGTCTGGTCTGGCAAAATGGCGACAGCAGTTTCATTAGCTTATTTTGCGGTTTTGTTTTTGTGCACTTGGTGAACTTTTTTTTGTGGAAAGGGTGCTGTTCTTTTTCCAGTATTATTCTTAGACTGTAAGAATGTGTTTTTCCATTATTATTTTTGGACTGTAATTCTTTTCAGCTTGATGAATGGCCTTATGTTCTCTTTGTTAGCTCGATTTTAAAACACCTTATGAAAAGTTTTGAGATATCACTCTGTCAGCTTAATTTTGCATTAACGATGGCCTAAAATATGTATTCACTTCCCAGACCTACCCTTAGAGACATGCTTGCAAAACAAGCATGTCAAACAAACTTGATGATCATGATCCTGATGATCATGAAAATTCTCCTGCATTTCAGCACGAAAGCTTTGCCGTGCTTTTGAAACTTCATAGTTGTTATATGATAATAGCACCATCAGTGATTGTGAAACTGAGAATATTCCTGCAAATGATACTTGGGTCTTCTGTAGATGATGATCATGGCGCTGTTCATCTTGACCATCATGCCATCGTGGTAAATAATAACTTTTATTATTTATACTTTTGAGAAAGGGTTTTTCATGTCAGATTTTTTTCTCTTTCTTTGTACTTGTGTTATTTGTTTTATTTCAGTTTATAAAATACAGAATTTTCACATATCCTCATTATGGATTTAATGAGGTTATGAGACCTGAGACTACTTGATATATGTAATTTGCAGACATTGCAATTTCAGCAAAATCAGGGAATCTTCAGAATGACATTTGCTGTACAGCTACAAGCAGCTGCTTGTACTCTTGTCATTGTAATATGTTTGTCCTAGGAACAAGTGAAATGACATTTTAAACTTGGACTGTTTCTGATCTACTTCTCAGATTGAAGATGACACCACCTTCTTCCAGTGAACCTCTTCTGCTTCATTAGAGGTAAGCACCTCCCTTTCTGCCGGCTCAGACACCGGCTATAGAAAATGGACTAAACCCAGTCATTTTGTCAAATTACGTTGCGCCTGTGTTTCATTTATTGCATGAAACCACTAGATGGCACTGTGATGTCAGTATTTATACTATAAAAAAACATCCGGCATTTCTAAGTTTCTAGCATATTTTTAAATGCTGGTATTCACATTGAATAAACTTCTTTTCTCAGTGTGAATTCTGGGTATGAAGAGAAACATTTTAAGTTATTATTATTATTATTATTATTATTATTATTATTATTATTGTTGTTGTTGTTGTTGTTCATTCTTGATCTGGATACAATTATGCCTAAAAATATTTTTTAAAGTTGGCAACAACAACAAAAGAGTATTGCTTACTTAAAAGATCTGTGTGACAGTATGATTGTTTTATTGCTAAATATATATATATATATATATATATATATATATATATATATATATATATATATATATATATATATATTTTTTTTTTTTTTTTTTTTTAAAACTTGTGCCACTATATTCTTTTGGAAAAACAAGTTTTTTT